CCTGTGCTGAGGGGCAGCTTTGGCTTGATAGAGGTCTGCTAGGATCGTAGTTCTCCCCTGTGGTACCAGCTTCCCAGTTGGATCAACCGGGACTTTGGCTGACACCCTACCAGTAATGCCTCCTCGGTGGCTGGAGCCGCTGCTTGCACTCTGACAGGAGTTTTGTTGTGCATGACAATGGCTCCACTCTTTTCGTCCATCCTCAAATCTTTGCCAAGTCTTTACTGCTCTCCCAAAGGATGGCTAGGTGGTTGGGGCCCAACACCCTGAAAGAAAATTTAAGTTTTAAGAGACTTGGTTTAATGTCATGGTTCTGACAGAGTCGAATAAAGCAGAACTCCGAGGCTTGAAAGTTCCTCAAAGAAATATTTATTAGTTACAAAGTATCGGCATAGTCAAAAGTGAAACCAAGTCTGAATACACAAGTAACAATTGCCCAATTACAAAGTTAAAGGTCCCACCCACAAAAGTATGCAAGCAACTACATTCCCCAATATACTTATTTGGTGGGCTTTGAATACAACGCCCAGTCCCTAGCCTTGGGAGCAGCAGATGACCTTGGTTCCCACGGGGCAGAAAATTATTTTGACTAACTAAGCACCTGGGCAACCCTCCTCCCTCTGTTCTATGTGGCAACCTAGAATGAGAAGAAAAAAATGACTGCAGCCATGCTCGTTGTAGAGTTGACACCAGCCCTATGATTTTTCACCCAGGAATATCAGACTTATAATTTGTTGCTGTTTTATAATGTGTTTTTTGTTTATTTTTTCCAGTGCTTTTCTTAATCTATTCTGTATTTGCTTTTGGGTTTGCTTGTTTCATTTAAAAATTTTGTAATCAGACAGAAAACCCTTAAATATAAGTTAAAATGTAATTCAAAATTGGGTTTATATTTTTTTCCTTCTTTGCACAATCTTGCAAATAAGTTACTCTGAGGGTAAAGGTAGGTTCTTTTTGTATACTTAATGAAATTTTAAATCAGTAAAGTGAAGAATATAAGAACCCTGCTTCTTGGATTGGAAAGAACAAACAAGCAGCATTAAGGGAATTATCATTCTATATTTAAATCATTTAAAAAACCTTCTAAATTATCATTGCATAAGCAAAACTAGGATTGTAACAACTTTCTCGTAGTACTTTTATAACAAAAATAAATTATCAAAATAACAGCTTTGTATTTAAAAGTTCTGTCTTATAATCTATACCCCCAATTTTATAGTCTCTTTGTAAAAAAGAGAAAAATATCTAGATGGAGGGAACTGTTTTGTGAATTGTTCACTGTGTAGCTGAAATAATGTCCTAATTATGTCTATTCACTGCCACTGAGTTCCAGGTAAACCACACTGAAAAGGCATCAGCCATTTCCTAATCTTGCATGACAGGAGTTGTCCAGTTTAGTTAACACTTCAGCTTTGTATTTAGGAGGAATATCTTTCTCAATTAGCATTCCACACTGGAACATTCTGAACATTTTTATATACCACAAATTTCCTGGCTCTTTCTCTATGTGGAAGATCACAATTTTAACAAATACCATACAATCAAGGATTGAGTTTTCCTTTCTGCTAATTTTGAGCTAACTTTGTGTATTGACACCACCTCATCCTGGCGATCTAGAAGAGTACAATACTTTTGTCTAGTTCAGCTTTTGGGCAGAGGGCTGGGTATTAGGAGGCGAAGGATTTTTAAAAATAACAGTAGTAGTTTGAGTAGCACAGAGAATACTGTGAGAACAATTAGGGGACTGGAAACTAAAGCATATGAAGAAGGGTTGCAGGAACTAGTTATGTCTAGTCTAATGAAAAGAAGGACTAGGGATGATATGAAAGCAGTCTTCTAATGTTTGAGGGGCAGCCACAAGGAAGAAGGGGTCAGCATATTCTGCAAAGTCCAAAGCACCTGAAGGCAGGCCAAGAAGCAGTGGATGGAAATTAATCAAGGAGAGAACTGAACTAGAAGTAGGAAAAATTTCCTGACAGAATAATTAATAAGTGTCACCCCTGTTTCTTCTTTTCTTTAGACTAGCCAAACTCAAGCCCTACAGCCATTCTTCATATGTTTTAGTCTCTAGGCCTTTGATCATTTTAGTTGCTCTTCTCTGCACTTTTCCCAAAGTCTCAACATCTTTTTTGTAATATGGTGACCAAAATTGGTTGCAGTATTCCAGGTGTGGTCTTAATCAGATATTGCCAACATCATATCTTTCTTCCAGTATTGGATAAAATATATTCTCTCTGCGAGCATGGATCTAATTAAACTGCAACGATTCTTCCCCCCCGCCCCCCAAGATTATTTCTAGACTCAGAAAAAACTCTTTGATAATTGGCTATTATTTGATAAGTGGCTATTTTCTGGCTGTATTGAATACAATAAACCCAAGAAAAGAGTTTCAAGTTTGAGTTAAAAGTATGTAGCAGTAGCAAAAAGCAAAGATTATAGCCAATGTAATGCTTTCTGCAGATGTCCAAATCAGAAAAAGAACAATGCAAGGTGTCAACTCTTACTTTATTATTCATCATTATGTGAAAACTACTGGCAGAAAAAGTTTGAGGCAAATATCGTAATAAAGAAATAGCAAGTCTCAAAATTCATAGAGAAGAATATAAGCTGAAATATTATACAGATGATGTAATACTAATCACTACAGAACCAGAAAAGGCAATAAAAGATAGTTGAAAATAATAGTTTTGGAGAATTCTCCGGATATAAAATCAATCTTGAAAAAACAAAAATAATCATAATATATTTAACACAAAGGAGAAATCAGTCTTTGGAGGAGAAATTTGGAGCTCAGATAACTCACTCGCTGAAATACTTTGATTTTCATCTGACAGGCAACAGTTAAGAAATACATCTAATAACTGTTAATTTATTGTAAGAGCTCAAAAGGGGCCTTGAAAGGGAAGGAATTTAGGACCAGTTGCAGTTATCAAATGAACATGTTACCCAAGATAAACTATTCCACATGTGCCAATGAGAATTTCAGAGAGAACTTTACAGAAATGAAAAGAAACTGTCTGTAAATGTATATTTACAGAATCAGAATGGGGAAAGACCAAGAGTTAAATTAGAAAATTTACAAAATATAAAAAGCACCTTTGTTCCCTTTCCCAACTTTACATTGTATCACAAAGCAAGTTGCTTGTTGTGGATATGACTGAATAAAATCCCCAAATAATTGAATGGCAGTACTGTAAAGAGCCAGCTCAGCCAATGGATTTCATAGATTTCATAGGTACCAAAATGTAAAGGTGGATAAAAATTTAAAAGTATATACTATTAGCCAAAGTTTGATAAATGTATGGAATTCTACAAAGGGAATAATAAGCCCAACAATTTCATTTCTAGCATTTCCCATAAATACTTTCCATGTTGGAGATAGTGATGGTTAGAAAAATATAGTTGCATATGCAGGCATAGTTCATTCAGATTCTACAAATAGATTAATAGAGCAATAACTACACAGTGAAGATTTTGGTAGTATTTTAAGAAAATTTATCTGGTCATGGAGATATAGATTCTGCTTTGTCTTAATTCTATTTTTTCAATTCATTCATCAATATGGTTATTTGTTTTAGTATGGTTTTCTTTGTGTTTGATGCTAAAGAAATAGTCTTTTAAACATTTTTCTTGAATTCCATACTCTAAGTCAGGGTTCCCCAACCCCCAGTCCATGGACCAGTACCGGGCCGTGGCATGCCAGCAACCGGGCCGCACAAACAAACAAAGCCCCATCTGCAGGATGCAGGCAGCACACAAAACCACGCCCCCTCTGGTCCGCAGAAAAACCTCTCTCCATATAACCGGTCCCTGGTGCCCAAAAGGTTGGGGATCTCTGCTCTAAGTAAAGAAAAATCAATAGTTCGATTGTTTAGAGCAGGCATGTCAAACTCGTGATGTCACATGACGTGCGACATATCATGACTTTCCCCCCATTGCCAGCAATGGGTTGGGCGCAATTTTGGTGTGACCCATCCGGCCCGCGGGCCAGCAGTTTGACATGCCTGGTTTAGAGGAAATTGCTTAATTTGTGTTAACATCTCAACTAAATAACTTATTGCAGTAATAATAAATCATTAACCTCAATTTGAAGATTTCCTTGAGATGTAATTTTGACATCTATAAATTTAATTAACTATCATCTGGAAATGTAACATATATCTATCATTGAACAAGTTTCATGAATAGAAGATTAATAAGTTCTTTTTTCCCCTCTAAATTTATTTTTATTCAAAAAGTTTAAACTCCAAAAAAGGAAAAGAAATTTTACAAAAACATAAAATTAGACAAAAAAATACATATATTGTCCCTCAGTTGAATACTGATAAATATATTACAACAATGATAACTTCCTCCCCTTGTGAATCAGGCCCAAGATTTATAAACTTCTACATTTATTTGTAACCAATTTGACCTGGTATACATCTTTATATTATATATATAATTATATGTAATTTTTGACAGAATAGTTAATAGGGAAACCAACAACAAAGTTAAGCTTCAAACCCTGTATTAACAATGTTATTGTAATTGACCCATAGAAAGTCTATAATGGCTTCTTATCTACCACAGACCACCACATTATCTCTGATCCATCCAGGATCAAATATCCTCATTTGTTTCTATAACAAGTTTTATAACTTTTCCTTAAGATTTTATTTGAGAACTTTTCCAACAATTGCATCTCATTTCCTAGAATCTTTGTTGTAAATATCTCTGCAGCACCCATTGTTCAGGAAGTCTCTTTGTAAGCAAAAACAGATCATTTCTTGTAAATTGTTGCCTGGTTAAATATAATAAATCCATTCTTTAAACCCCTACACTCTGCTGAAGCTGTTAGTTAGCCTGGTAACAAAATGTTTGGAAACCAACCTACAAGATCAGAGAATGAACCTTCACCCTCACCATTCTTCATAGTTGATTTGGATGGCTAAGAAAGTTTAATCCATCGCTCATCAATTTCATTATCTCTGAGTTTCTTGTATTTGTGCCCCTTTCAGCCTTTTTGACCGAGCCTGCAATTCTCAGAACAAGCACTTTCACCTTCACATCTAGCAGCACCAAACCATTTGATTTGCAAGTCCATCAGACTGCAAATCAAGTCCAACTGCTATTCACGGCTTTTGAGTAAGTCCTGGGATTGATTTATAACCATTGCTGATCTAATAAAAATGTTTTATTGAAATTTTCAAATAAAGCTTGTAAGTTAGAGAGAAAATATTTTTCTAAATATTTCCCAGAGAGCTTTATCTCTTTTTATAGACATTTTAAAGACAAATAGTTCTTTCTTTCAAGGACAAGAAAAGCAGATATACCATAACAAAATGTCCATAGAGAAAAGTTGAGATAAAATTTCCTAGAATGAAAAGGAATTATAAGAAAAGGAATTTTCCCATCAAAAGTTTTTTTGAAAAAATAAAACTTGAGTTTTTGAAAAACTAATAAAAACAAAATCCTTATATTAAAATCCAGTACAGGTAGTTCTCGACTTACAACCACAAGTGAGCCCAGAATTTCCGTTGTTAAGTATGACATTTCTTATGTGGTTTTGCCCCATTTTATGACCTTTCTTGCTAGAGTTGTTAAGTGAATCACCACAGTTGAAAAGTTAGTAACACAGTTCTTAAGTGGATCTGGCTTCCTCATTGATTTTGCATTTCAAAAGGTTGCAAAAAGTGATCACATGACCTTGAAAGGAACGACAATAGTCATAAATATGAGTCAGTTGCCAAGCATCTGAATTTTGATAATATGATCATGGGGATATCACAAAGATTGTAAATGTGAAAAACGGTCATAAATTGTAAAAATCCAGCAAGGGAGTTATAGGACAGATCAGCCTTCAACCAGTTGGCTCAAATGTAGATCGGAAAGCAAGAAAACCTTTATGAACAGTTGAATTAAAATCAAGTTGTGCTTAAAAAAAACCAAACAATTGAAGGGAAGAGATAATTCACAAGCATCTAGAAATCTAACATGTATCTATCATTGAGCAAGAAGATTATTACTTTTTTAAAGAGGTTTCTACCTCCATGTGTCTGAGAGGGAGGATAATGATTGTTCTAGAACATTCTTGGAAGTTTACTAGAAATTCTTTTGGATAATCCAAATTTGTCTATATTTGGGGAAATCCCTACTCATACCTCCAAAAAATAGATGTTTTATATTCATTTCAAGAAGTGGGCTTTTCCATTAAAATATTTTTTATAACCATCTGGAACATAAATTGAAGCAATTCTTTTACTTTATTCAGTCTGAAATGTCTAAAATCTTAGGAAATGCTTTTCCAAAGTCCAAAATAAATTTCTGACATTTTTCAATTGACAAATTATTCACGTAGTTACCATACTGAGTGATAAACAATTTAGCTGCCCTAATTTAGTCTTGTAAATTAATATATTTTGCATGCAGAAGTTGTGAATATTACATATTTTTATTAAATTAGCCCAATGTTCTGGGTCCACACAAAATTCTGAATTACTAGGTATAACAATAAATAGGTAATAAATATCTCTGGAATGATTTTCTCATTGTCTTGTTTTTGTATTGCAGGTACTAAGAAACAGTAGATGTAATTTTGAAGAAGCACTGTTGGTGAAATGGCTTTAGCTGGCTGCCCAGATTCATTTTTGCATCATCCATATAGGATAGTAAGTTATCACTTAATTAAATTCTGTATACTTCAACTGAATATTCTCTCAGCAGGCTGTTTTGCTTAGGGCAGTGTTTCTCAGTATGGGCTAGTTTAAGGTGTTTCAGCTTCAACTTCTGGAATATACAAGAAGAAATTAAAATTAGCAATCTGGATAATATGAACTTTAGAGTTGCAGTATAAAATGCAAATATAGTACACATACATAAATACACATGCACATGTGCATGCATGCACACATACATACAGCATACATACATATATATACAAAGGTGTACTCCTTGACATATAACCACAACTGAGACCAAAATTTCTGTTGTTAAGCAAGACATTTATTAAATAAATTTTGCCCCATTTTATGACCTTTCTTGTCACAGTTGTTAAGTGAATCATTGCAGTTAGTAACAAATGGTTTAGTGAATCTGGCTTCCCTATTGACTTTGCTTGTCAGAAAGTCATAAAAGATGATAACGTGAATCCTGGACACAAGTATTGTGCCAAATACATGACAGTTGTCAAGCACCCACATCACCATGGGGATGGTGCAACAATTGTAAATGTGAAAAATGGTCATGTCATTTTTTTGAGTGCTGTTGTAACTTTGAATGGTCACTAAACAAATGGTTGTAAGTCAGGGGAGGACTACCTGTATATGGCTATCCATACTAAGGCAGGTTCAATTGCTCTTATTCTTTGCCTGATGCATACCATCATACAAAATGTGGTAACCTTATGTGTAATTTCAGAGTTATATCACAAACTAGGAATTGCATATATCATTGTTTATTGTATCCTCTTTCCTAATGAAGTGTGAGATAAATAGAGCTTTTCATTTTCTGTATAAAAATGGTAAAAACAAAGAACATGTTTGCTATTTTCTACTTGTCCTGAGTTGTAAGGACATGCTCATAATGAGTATAGTGAGTATAGTTTCCAGCTAGATGTGCTAAAGAGAGAGCATTATATTGGGCTAAAGTAAAAGCCCATCTCTGATTTGGGAAGTTAATTTGTGTAAGATACACAGCTGGTATATCTTCGGCTATCTGTTGTAGAAACCCGAGTTGTATTACTAGCATAAAAGTGTCAGTCTGTGTCAAATAGACATTGCTTAAGTGTGACTCTTTTTGCTCATAATTGAAAAAAATTAAGTGTAGGAAATCCCAGTGATAGAGCTTGTTGCAAAGGGCTTGTTTGCATCCACTTTGAAATATGTTTTCTAATATCAGTGGAGCTAAATTTATAGAGAAATGTCAGCTTCAACCATATTCTAGTGTCTACTCTCACACTTCCAACTCCGATGCATAATGAAGCATTAGAAACATAGTCCTAGGTTTGTACTTGTGATGAAGTTTGGAAGTAACTCTTTAAATATTTTTTGTTTTTATTTTTTCTTGTTTCTTCCTTTCTCCCTTTCTCTTATATGTTCTATTCTGTCTTGCTTTATTTTTTTTCCTTTCTGAGATTATTTTTTAGTCTTTTATTCTTGTTTTATCATGAAAATGCTAAAGATATCATAAAAAACAAAAATAAAGAGTGATAAGCTGTTAGGGGAGAACAATGATTTTGAGATTAATCTGTCAAATTGTTTTGCTCACTTGCAAAATTTGGAAGACATGAACATTACGGACCAAAATCAACTAATAGTGAAAGACTTCCTTGAATCTGCTACATCTATAGCACCACCTGAAAAACACTTGGTACAGTCAAAAATCTCTGATGGAACTATTGATTTAATAAAAAAATGATGGATAATGAACAATACCAGAAGTTTCACTAATAAACTAGAGTACATTGAACTTTGCAAGACCATAAGAAAATATATCCAAAAAGAAATACATCAATTTAGCACAAAACCTGTGTAAAAGGCAATTGAAGAAAACCAAGGAATTAATAGAGAAAAATGCAGGCTTATAAATACAAGAAAGTTTTTCCCATTAAAACATGAAGATGGCTCTGTGTGTAGCATAAGATAGGAAATGTTAGAAATAATTGGAAAATTCTATTCAGAGCTATACAAAGATATAGATCACTCAAAAGTAATAACACCCATGAAAGAGAAGTGCTAGATATCCTAGTGGAAGAAGTATCAAATGCAATATAATCAGTGGTGCGATTCAGCCATTTTGCACCACTTCGGCAGAACCGGTAGCTAATTTTTTGTTGCCCAAGCCCAGAATGAATTTCCGGAAGCAGCATCCACACAGAGAACCGGTTGTTCACATATTTGAATCCCACCACTGAACATAAATAATGAAAAATGGCACAAAGTTTCAGGAAATGACTGTGTTATGGTTGAAATGCTGAAAGCTGGCAGTCACAGTTTACACAAGATACTAGCAAAACTGTACTTGAGATGCCTCAGAGAAGAAAAAATACCAGATACAGTACATGGAAAAATGCTGAAGTGATTCTTATACACAAGAAAGAGGCCCAGGATAATTTAAAAAACTATCCCCCAATAAACCTTCTTTCAGTCATCTACAAGATTTTCACCAATATAATAGCAAGAAGAATATTGAGAACATTAAATAATGCACAGCCAAAGGAGCAGGCAGGGTTCAGAAGTGGCTACAACACAGTGGATCACATCCAGGTTGTTCAGCAAGTCTTTGAAAGGCAAACGAGTACATATGCCTCTGTGCATCCCTTTCATTGACTACAAAAATTGATTCAGTATTCCAGCAGGCAATAATTAATTCATTGCTCAACCAAGACATAGATTTACATAAATTTACTACAATCAATATATGAAAAAATAATGGCGACAACTTGCCTTAATGATCTTAAAGAGCTGCACAAATCAGAAGAACTATTTGGCTTAAAAATAAACCTGAAAAAGAACCAGGTTGTATTTAATAAATTCACCAAAGAAATATTTTTTATATATATATCTGGCGAAGAACTACATGGAGTAGACCACTACATATATCTCAGCCAATGGATCTCAATGGAAGATGATACAATAAAGGAAATGGAATGGTATGTTAAATGTGGTTAGCAGGCATTTGGCAAGCTAAACATAATTTTGAAAAACAACCTCCTCCTTTGCCTAAAGCAGTGGTTCTCAACCTTTTTAATGCCACGACCCCAACCGTTCGTAAGTCGAGGACTAAACCGTTCGTAAGTCGAGGACTAAACCATTCGTAAGTCGAGGACTACCCAACCGTTCGTAAGTCGAGGACTTTCCCTGCCCGGGAGTGCCGCGCATGCGTGGTTCCGCCCCCTGCGCCGGCCGAGGCGTAGCTGGCAAGCGGCAGAGACGGAGTAGGCCGACCACCAGCTGGCCCAGCCCAAGGGAGGTAAGGCACCCGCCGGAAAAGGGGAAAAAATGGCGGACAAAAAAAATGGCAGACAAAAAAAATGGCGGACAGCCTTGCTTGGCGACCCCCATGAAATGGTCGATCGATCCCAAGTGGGGTCCCGACCCACAGGTTGAGAACCACTGGCCTAAAGATAAAAGTTTTCGGTAAGTGTGTACTATCTGCTCTAATATATGCCCTCACAATTGATTCAAAAGCTACAAGTGGTGCTGTCAGAACCAATTTCTTTGGTGGGAGGCCTTTTTCTTTTCCCCTTCTATGGTTTCTGCCATACTTCTAGGGGGAAGGGGCAGACCTTTGAGGGATTGTATGTGTATTGTCCTTTCGCTTAGCTGCTACAATATATCCTCTCCACTTCCTCTATCTGCTTGCTCTTTGAACTATTCTCCCCTTGATGTCAACCTGGGTGAGAAAGGAATGTGCCTCTGGCCATCTGGCTTATCTCTTGCTGTGGAAGAGAAGGTGCAAAGACCCCACAACATTTTCACAGCCTTGGGAACGGTGTCTTATCAGCTTCATTCCTAGCGGACTTAACACCTGGGGATTGGGCCGTTTGAACTGACCGGATGAACTGTTGGGGTGGGGTTTGCTTTTTGCTCTTTTAACCTATTGATTTGAGCAGGAAACCCTCAGATCCTGCCTTCTATGCCTGCTGTCAACTTCTAATAAAAGTTCCTTTTGGGATGAATCTGTTCCAAGAGTTCTGCTTTCTTGGGAAGAGATTTTGAAGCGGGTCCTTACAGGGGCAAAGAGCCTTGGAAATATATATACATTACAAGACAAGATAGAAAGACCCACATATGGATTAGATAACAAAGAAGTGTATACAATATCATCAAGAGAGTAAAAGAATTAAAATGGAAATGAGCTGATTATATAGCAAGAAGAACTGATGGCAAGTGGATCAAGGCAGTCATAGAATGGATCCCAATTGATAAAAAGTGTCCACGAAAGAGACCTAAAACAAGATGGGTCAATGGCATCAGTAAGTATTACATGCCCAACTCAGGACTGTATTGGTTGGAAAAATGCAGAAGAGGCCTTCATCTTGCAGTGGATAAACAATGTGTCATGGTTCCGATAGATGAAACTCTTCAAAAGAACTTTGAGGCATTGTTTACCTTAAATAATCTTTTATTCGAGAAACAAAGTATCGTACTACATAGTCAAAACCAAAAACTAAATCCCTCTCCCCTGGATACAAAGTAACAAAACACAATTCCTCCAATAAACAATCATAAATCACATTCCCCAATTAGCTTGAAGCACGGGCTTTCTCCTCAGCTCTCCAGCCCACCAAAACTCTTATAAACTCTGGGCCCAATGACCTTGGGTTCCCATGGCTGAGTTATTATTGTTATGACTAGCTGGACTCTTATCCACATTCCCTCTCCCAACATCAACTAACTCTAAAAGCAATAGAGAAAAATGGCTGCATTTCCATTTGTTGTCAAAGCAAGATCATCTGATGTTAGCAGCGTTGACATCTGCCCCCCCTTACAAAAAGGACAAATCCTGTAATGCAAACAGAAGCACATTCTCCAGCATGATGAGTGTAGAATCCACTGGATGGGTTATTTCAGCCTTCCTGCTCAGAAGAGACTAGGTCAGAACTTTGGCCACGCCTCCCTCTGGGTGTGTCTTCCCAGTTTTGACTTACTCTCATGCTCAGCAAGGCGCTGAAATTTTGGCTCCTTAACTAGGCTAAGTTAATTGCATTTATTTCAAAGTATTTTCATCTAATTAGGTTCCTTCTTTTAGTTTTTAGGGTGCAGTGTTTCCTTTGTTTTTTCTGTTGAAAT